ACTCCTCCACCCTCACCTGGTTGAGCTTCCATCGTTTAGCCAGTTCCGTGATGCCGATGTATGTGCATTGGTACGCCCCTTTTAAATAGCATGGGAGAGTTAGCGGTTTATTGGAAAAAGGCACCGGTGGTCTACACATGGGTCATGTTGTTTCACATCATCGACATAAGTGGATTAGTAGGTGTTGAAGTTGCGTATTGGATGTTCATTTGTCTGCTAGATTTGGATTTCTCTAGAATTAAGTTTGGTATTATATTATATTATATTATATATATTTGTATATTTAAAAAAATATTTATACAAAAATGAGAACATATACAAAAATATAAATATAAATACATGTATGTAAATGTATATATATCAAAATACTAATATATATATAATATAAAAAATAAATATTGAATATAAATATAAATAAATATATAAAATATAAAATATATATACATATGATAACTATAAATGTAAGTATATAGATTTAATGGTATAGTTATGTAACAATGTCGCTAAGACTGTCTTAGTATATTAAATCTTAAAATACACATACAAATATGAGAGATAATATTAGGCGAGTGGTCATTCTTGCGGGCTACTGTAATTGGTAGAATAGCGTACGTCTAATATGGATATATAAAGAGGCAGATTTACTGGTATAGATATATAGCAATTTGCTATTATTTGCCAAAAGGTGGACCCTTTTAAAAAGCTAAATAAAAGACGAAACCTGTCGTCGGTCATCCGCTACAGATAACGAAACATTCACATCGTAATTTCTAAAGCAATATTGAAAAACATGTTGATAAAAAACTTGATATCGGTCATTGCGTAGGGTTTTGGTAACTGTGCAATAGGTGGTACACTTCTCGGTGGTTGTTTAACATCAGAAGATTCAGTACTAGTGCGTGCAAATCAAGACTTTAATGATTGACTCTGGTTGTTTTGCTTTTATTCGGGTAATACATTGTCTTCGAGCGTTCATATTATTTTCTTGGCAAGTGATACTGACGCGCGAAGTGATGCAGAACTCTGTGTATGTTACTACGGATGGCGGGTGGTTGTAAGTGGTGGTACTTTCGACGTGTGAGAAAGGTAAGTGACATGGACGGGGGAAGGTCCGCAGGAGACGTTGTTCGCATCAGTTTAGAACGGCATGAAAGACTGATGGATCTAGGGCAAGGGCCTCTATAAACTAGCAGTTTTCCTTGCGGAGTCATGGTCAGAGTATGATTGATGCTCAAGTGCCGTGCGGTGGCGGCGTCTAAATTCCTCTCATAAGTGGATTGGACGGTGATGGTTGATGGATGTCGGTGACGTTTTGTTCCTGGGTCTAATGATTGGTATGCAAGTCTGATGCGGATTTTTGTTATACAAAATGCAATAGGGTTATGTCACGCAACCAAAGGTACTGTATTATGAACATATAGTGTTCTTGTTTGCTGCAAAAATGATTAACTCATTATTCTTCAGTTTAAAGGTTTTGGCTTGTTCAATGTTGGTTTGTAGGAGCTTCATCACTAAATATTTAAAGCTGGTGGGTGAAGTTGTAATGTAAATGGTAAGGGTTATGTGGTGATAATTGTATACTTCCTAGAGTAGATTATGTAAAGTGTTACTGTATTTTTTTGGGTTTAACAATGTATAGGGTAATCATATCATCGTGGAAAATATATTGGGACAATGTGTGTATTATACTGTATTCTCTATAAAAAAAAATTCTAAATTGATAGTGATATTGTATTGTATTCACCGTAAAGAATTCTAAAATGTTAGTAATATTGTACTGTATTCATTGTAAAGGATTCTAAAAATATCTCCTGATTTCATACATTATAGTTTATACTTGTTTATTTAGAGTTAATTATATTCAAAGCAAAAATAATAGCTTTCTAAACTTAGTATTTTAACCTTTTTTTTTTTTTTTTTTTATCAAAGTAACTATCACAACAATTTTGACTGGTATGATTTTAAGAAGAGCAAGGCATAATCAGTATGCGATGAATTTAGCCAATTACCGTTAAATTTTGGCAGCAAGTAAGCGTTGTTCTGTGTAATGTAATGACAAGAATGGTTTAAACTTAGCCGAAATGTTGTGTTATGTGTGAGACGAAAGGTGAGTTTTGGGGTTGATGTTTGCAAACTTCAGAAGGAACAAATGCGCGATTAATATTACAATCTGTTAGTAATTTTGGAATTTATTTAATGAGTGGTTTGGTCTGATCTGTGCGAAGTTTTGCCCGAGAGAGTGTAAATATGGTGGCACAACAAAAATAGCTGTAAACTCATTGCTTGTAAAATTTAGGCATACACTTTTGCTAGCGGCTGACGGGCCAAACATTTGTAGCACAATAGCATAGTTGGATGCCTTTATACAAACTGTACCGCTTAACTTAGTTCTACGTGGAACAACATTTGTACCATATGAAGGTAGCAGTTAGGCAACTAGAGCAAATCTAAAAATTGATGCCGGCCAGACGAAGAAATTCTGAGTAGGCAATGTTTTTTGTCCACTCAACCACTGTGTCAGCCAACGCTAAGGATCGGACAACGATATGTAAGAAGTTGTATGATTCTGCGTGTGACAAAGCTACGTAGAGCATCCCATGCATGAATACGGGATCAAGAAGGTAAACACCGACATGTTCCAAAGTTTGCCTCTTTGCTTTGTTAATAGTCATGCTGAAACATAGCTTAACTGAGAACTGCGTCCTTGTAAAATCTATGGAGGAATGCTTGACGTTCTTCGGTTCTAAGACACGAGGTATGAAACATGTTTCACCAGAACAAAGACTTGTAATTATTTCAGCCTCGAGAATATTTCGCGATATTGCTTTGCATATCAAACGGGTCTCGTTTGATAAACCATTACATGGGTTGAGGTTTCGTAGTAACATTATGAACGCTCCTTTTTTTAAGCTTTAAAGCATGTGGAGGCATTCCGTTTGGCGTTGATGTAGAAAAATAGTCTTTGTAATGTGCTTGTAGACTTGAATCTTTAGTAACATCACGACCAATAGAAGTAATTGAATCTTATGGAATATTGGGTAAAACAAGATTGTTGATTTCATCTACTATTTCATTAGTTGTAGTTAGAATCGAACGATTGGCGAAGAAATCTGAACAAAAAGAGTATTTTTTTTTTTTGTGTTTCTTTTAATTTTTTTTACTATTTAAATTTCATAATTTTTTAATAAATATATGTATATTTATAAATGTATATTTATAAAATATCAAGGGTTTGTTTGACTATATTTTAGGGTTTGCATACAGTAGAATAATAATTTTTTAAATATAATAATTATTCAATATAATATAAATACATATTTGATATTATTCTTTCAATTAAAAACCTTTGTTTAAATATATAAAATGAAAAAAAAGTGATGTATTGTGTGATTTTTAAAGATGTACATAAAATTACTATAAAGAAATAGTAAAAATAAAAATAGAACTAAATAAACTAATATTTTTTTGAAAATGAAATGTTTAATACTCCTATTTATTTTTTATTATAAATATTATGTATATAACATTTTTTTTACAATATATAAAAATAATAAATAAAAAAGATGCAAAAAAAGAAAAAAGATGATATTATAGGGTCCCCTATCCTCCAATGAAAACGTAAAAAGAAAAAACAATACATGTGTACCTTATCTCTTACACTGTGTTATAAATGTAAGTGAACAAGTAGGCATGGCAATCAAGGCGGGTCTCGTTCGGCCCAGCCTCGGTCCTTGTGTTAATGAACCGAATATATGTTTAATTTTATATATATATATATATATATTTGGAATATATTATGTTTCTTTAGTTAAGTTTTTACAAATTTTATTATTTAAATTCTGCATTTTTAAAATAAAAATATATTTTTTTATCTCATAAAATATCTATTAAATATTATTTTCATATCAAACTCAAATATTTTTTTTTTCCAAACTCATCAAAGAAACACACTAGGCAGAAAATATTACAAATTTGATTAAAAACTCGTTAGCTTAGCGTCAATCTTAACCTGTTTAGATTAATATTATATATTCTTATAATTTTTTATATTATTTAATTTTATATTTAAATTGTTTGTTATTTCTTTTAATTTTTTATTGTTCTAAATTCTCAATCATGCTTATCATTTTTTAAGTGGTCATCACTACGGCTGAAAATGTATTACACCTTTCGTCTATTAAAATTAATTTATTTGAATATTATACGGATATTTAAAAAAATATTTTATTAAAAAATAATTAAAGTAAAAAAGTATTTGGAAGTAATTTTGAAAAATTAATTAAATATTAAAGTAAACAAAAAAAAAGAATATAATAAAAATAGTGATATTTCATGTAAATAAATGTTAAATAAGAGATAATAATTAAATATTAATTTTTTAATTTTTCTAAAAGTTAAATATGTGATAAATTTAGCAGAAAAAATTTAAAAATTGGATAAATTTGACTAAAGAAAAAGGAGTCTCATTTTGGTAATTGAGATTTTTAAAATTAAAAAAAAAATCAATATTTAACTTTTTATTAGATTTTATTAATTATATAATCTATAACATAGATAACAGTTCACCTCATCGTTTTTAATATAAAAAATAGTATGTCAATTCAACATTTTTAATAGAATAATTTTTCATAAATATTATTAAAAAAATATAAATATACATACACATCAATATAATTTATACATTATTCACTCATATAAAGTCAATCATTCAAAATAAAATATTATTTTTTATATTACTAACATATTTTTTCGTATTACACACAAAAAAAATCAATTTATTTAAAAATCCTTGAGTGCACGGACTAAATATATTTTGTGATGAATAATTGACTTTTTTTTTTTTTTTTTTTATGAATGTATAATATATATATATTATATAAATACGTTTATATTTTTATTTTTTTAAGTAATATTTATAAAAATAATTTTATTATATATATAACCATGCTAGCTTGTCATTTCAATATACATGTATATATTTTTTCTCTTTATTTGTTATTATTGTGACAAGAAGTAAAATGTAGCGATGGTCGGCCTCCCAAGATTTAAAGCTGATTCCGCTACTGCACTCCATTGTAGTCAAAGGACACAGAGAAAGAGAGGCAGCGGGTTAAATAATTGAGGTGTTGATATACAAATACATACAACATATGTATCTATATGTATATATATATTCATTCCAGTGGCTTGTGCAAGATCCCAATCCCAATCCCAATCCCAGTTCCAGATTCTCTCTCACCACCTCCTCACTCACTGGGAAGAAGGAGAGACATAGAGACAGATATACATATATATATATAGAGAGAGAGAGAGAGAGGGAGAGAGAGAGTAAGAGAATAAAATAATAATGGGAAGATCTCCTTGCTGCTCGAAAGTGGGTTTGAGAAAAGGGCCATGGTCTGCAAAAGAAGATGCTCTTCTCTCCAACTTCATCCACAAAAATGGCCAAGGCCAATGGCGCTCTCTCCCCAACAAGGCCGGTAATATCACTGCCATTATTAAACTCGATTTATTAACTAATTATTATATAATAATAATATTAATTAATTAGGGCTGCTGAGGTGCGGGAAGAGCTGCCGGCTCCGGTGGATGAACTACCTCCGGCCGGGGATCAAGCGCGGCAACATCACCGCCGACGAGGAGGATCTCATCCTCCGCCTCCACTCCCTGCTCGGAAACCGCTGGTCCCTCATCGCCGGCAGATTGCCAGGTCGAACCGACAATGAGATTAAGAACTATTGGAACACTCACCTTCTTCACAAAATTAATGAACCTTCTTCTCCTCCTGCTGCTGCTGCCGGAAAACCCAATAATGTTATTAAGCCCTGCTGCAACAAACGCCGCCGCCGTGCGCCGCCGCCCAAGACCAAAGTGTATTCGCCCAAGCCTATCCGGCTATCCCCCGCGTCCCTGCCCGCGGCGGCGCCGGCGCAGGCAGTGTCGGATGATCTTGTGGTGGGAGCGGGAAGCATTCTGCCGCTGCTCCTCCTCCAGCAGCAGCAGGGGGAGTACGATGAGTTCTACATGTCCATCTCCGGCGGCGGCGATGTGGGGATGCTCGAACAGGTCTACGACGAGTATCTGCAACTTCTCTAAATTATATATATATATATATCCAAATCAGGTAAATTATTAATTAAATAATGGGTAGTTACTCTTTACTTATTTGTGTTGTGTATCAAAGACTTGAATTATATATGTGATCAGCTTATATAATATATTTTTATCTCTTTTAGAGGATGTTTGGTTAGGGATAGGGAAAAAAATCGAACCGAACCGCCAAACCGTTGAATCGAACTGAATCGAATCGGATTTTCGGTTAATCGAGCAAATTCGATTCGAATATAAATACTGCATATTTGAGATTTGCTCGGTTCGGTTATGTTTCAGTTTTTTATATTTGCTCGGTTCGGTTTGGTTTCAGTTTTTTATATTTTTTTCGGTTCGGTTCGGTCCGAACCGAATATATTTATATATTTATGTTATTATATTTTAAAATTTATATTAATAATTATATTAGATTCGGTTTCGGTTGTGTTACGGTTCAGTTTCGGTTCGGATATTTGAAATATTTGCAAATATTTTGATTTAATTATAATTTTAATTATTTTTTAATTTCGGTTCGGTTCGAATTATTTGCAAATATTGCAAATATTTTCGGTTAACCAAATTTTCGGTTCGAATACGATTCATAATTTCGGGTATTTGTTTAATTCGGTTCGGATATCAAATACCTGCATATTTACAAATATCCGACCGGTGCCTAGCCTATGTTTGGTTAATAAGATATACTATTTTTTACTTTTTTTTAAAAAAACCATTTATTTCATAATTCAAATCTTACCACTTTCCACTACATCCTTTTCACTGTAGAGATAAACAAATTTGTAAAAATAAAATAAAATAAAATTATTACGTATGAAATTTAGAATTAGGTTTAAAAGCTCAAGATAAAAAGAAAAATAGGCCTAGCAATCGAGTTGATCGAATTGGCTGAGGGGCACCGTGGGAAACTCAGGTAGAATAGATATATTTCTGAGGAAATAGCGGGTCGGAAGGTCCGCAGGTCGGGAGGTCCGTAGGTCGGAACGTCCTTAGGACGGAAAATCCGCAGGTCGGAACGTCCTCAGGTCGGGAGGTCCGCAGGTCGGAACGTCCTTAGGACGGAAAATCCGCAGGTCGGAAAGTCTTCAGGTCGGAAAGTCCTCAGGTCGGAAGATCTTCAGGTCGGGAGGTCTACAGGTCGGAAGGTCCTTAGGTTGAGAGGTTTGCAGGTCGGAAAGTCCTAAGGACGGAAAGTCCGCAGGTCAGAAGATCCTCAGGTCGGAAGGTCCGCAGGTCGGATGGTCTGCAGGTCGGGAGGTCTGTGACTGGACCAATAAGTCGGATGGTCTTTAAGTCGGGAGGTCTGCGGCTGGACCAATAAGTCGGATGGTCTTTAAGTCGGGAGGTCTGCGGCTGGACCAATAAGTCGGATGGTCTTTAAGTCGGGAGGTCTGCGGCTGGACTAATAAATCAGATGGTCTGTAGGTCGGGAGGTTTGTGACTGGACTAAATAAGTCGGGTGGTCTGTAAGTCGGGAGGTTAGCAGTCGGATCAATAAGGTGGAAGATTTGCGGTTGGGCCAAAGTGGCGGAAGGTCTGCGGTCGGTCCAGGGAGTTAGATACTGTTGCTAGAGAGCGAGAATGACACTTCGGTTGGTTGAGGGCACGTGTCAGCAGGAGAAGGGTTAGCAGACGGTTGGAAAAGAGGCGTTGTAACAGTTCGGTCGACGGTTTTCAGTATTTTTTCTCAAGGAATATTTAAGGATTTGGATTTTTCTGGAGAAATTATCTTCAATCATCTACAAACGACATCAAAGTCAAGAAATTCGGGGATCACCACTTTAATTTCCAGTTAATTTTCTTATGTACCGTACGGTGTTTAGAGATTCCTAATCTCAGGCACTAATTAATCAAGTTTAAGGATATTTCCATATCTTTGAATTTTACTTTTTGTTTGTTGAAAAAATACATCAACAAATTGGCGACCACAGTGGGAGAAAGGCAAGATTGCTGATCCTACATCAACAGAGAATTTTATACGACTGAGGTCTGGCCGAATCATCAGAAAACTTAGTATGGCAGGCTCACAACCTCAATCATCATCAGCACCGGCGGGAGAAAATGTTTCACCACCCGTCGTGCCAAACTCAGGGGAGATTCCCCAACCACCTACTGATTAGTTGTCTTATGTTCAACAATTGAACAATCAGCAAACTGTGACTATGCAGAACATGTTGCGCGAGCAATAGAACATCATGTTGCGCGAGCAACAAAATCTTATGCAGAACATGTTAGATCAAGCATTATCAAGGGTTACTCTTCAACCCACCCAGACGCTGCCAGGGATTTCACCATCAAGGATGCAAGCAAATTTTGCAGGGCCATCGTATGTGGACAACACACTTCCAAGCGCCACAACGTTCAACCGAACAGATAGGGGAAAGACTCATCTGACTTTCCCAAATAATATTCCTTTGGGACCAAGGGTTGAAAATGTGCAACCGAACATTACAAGAGAGGAAAGACCAGGGGGACATATGCAGGATCCTATTCATATTCCTGTGCAAAATCCCATTGATATTCCTGATCATCAACAATTTCGTTTGGGAGATGAAATTGCTCACGTATTGAGGGTGCAGTTCGGTCTAAATCCCCAGATGGCCAACCGACCTGCTTGTGAAAGACCTTTTCCAGAAAGGATTATTAATGAATATCATCTCCCAAGGAATTACAGGCCACCAGATTTTCATGCTCTTTCTGGAGAGGATGGATCCTCTACTATAGAGCATGTGGGGTGTTTCACAGCATAGTTAGGGGAAATTGGTAACAATTCTTTTTACAAGTTACAACTGTTTGGATTGTCTCTAACTAGGACAACTTTCTCATGGTTTGTAAGTCTGCCACCTGGGCAAATACAAACTTGGGAAGGTTTGGAGATGGCATTTCATGCCATATTTTTCAATCCCCTGCCCACAGTTTCTTTGACTGATTTATTGGAGATGAAAAAATATCCAGAAGAATCAGCTTCACAATTTATTGAAAGGGTGAGATTGATGAAAGGACGATGTCCTACAATAATTAATGAAAAAGAGATGACTAACTTAGTGCTTAGAAATATGCATGGTCGCCTAAGGGATGCGCTCACTGCACATGATGTGGAGGATTTGGCAAGTCTTGCATCCAAGGCTGGACGTTTAGAGTCTCTTTTCAAGGAAAGGGATCCGAATTTCAGGCGTAATAAAGGTCAACATAGGGCTAGTATGGAAACAGAAGCATACGACTTTGATTATGATCAAACAGAAGAGATGGTGGCCGAAATCATCTCTTGAAAGCCTTATGTGTGCTCTAAGTTAAAGCCAGCACTAGGAATTGAAGCTAAAGGGCAACCGACCTTTGACAATTCAAAGGCAGACGAGATATTTGACATTCTGCTAACTGATGGTCAAATCCGAATTCCAAAGGGGCAGAAGTTGGCTACTAAGGACGAAATCAAAGGGAGGTCATACTGTAAATGGCATAACTCCTTTACACATAACACAAGTCAATGCACTCATTTTCGAAATGAGATCCAAAAGGCTATTAAGGCAGGTCGGCTCAAATATATTACTTTGGGAGTGAAGCAGCAGCAACCATTTCCAAAAGTAACCACAACAATGGTTAATATACAAGCAACTTCCAGTAAAGAAAAAGGGAATTCATCAAACAGTGGCCGACCAGAGGAGAAACTGAAGGTCTGTGAAAAAACAGTGGCTGAAAAATGGGACAACCAAGATGGTTCTTTTAATGTGGAATTAAAGGATCAAGCTTTGGTTCGGGACCACCCGACCAGGAGGACGGGTGCGGTTGGAAGCAAATGGACTCGAAATAAGAAACCTTTACCAATTGATGTGGATCCTCGCTTCCCAGGCATGAATCGTACTCAGATTCGGAATGCCAAGCGTAGGTATGCTGCAAGATACAGAGACAAGGTCGCTTCCTTGAGACAACCAAGTTCTTCGGAAGGAGGTCGGTACATACGGGGCGCCTCAGCAAAGCAACCGAATGACAGCCAAGGTGTTGTTAAGTATACTGAAAGAGGTCGGTCCATCAGGATTGTTTCGTTGGACCAGTCGAATGAGGTAGAAAAGGATCGGCCCATTGAGGTCGCCTCATCAAAGCAGCCGACCAACATACGAGACACTGTTAATTACAATGAGGGAGGTCGGTCCTTGCGAAAGAAGGGTAAAGGCTTGTCCGATGAAAGAGTTGAGGGTTTCAAATGTCAGTATTGTAAGAAGATTAACATTAACCCGCCTTTGGAGGAATTTTGTTTGGAATCTCTAACTGTTCAACCCGAAATTGAAGTCGGAGACGAGATTCCAGAGAAGGATTCAAGGTCTATCAAATCTCGACTAGGGCTACGTATTCCCTGCCGAATGACATAAATTAATTGGGTTGAGGAAGAGCCTTTGTGGGCAAGTCTGGTGGATGAGTCTATAGAAGAACCAGAATGGGCAAAGATTTCAGATCCTGACTTTCAATCAGAGGTCCCTCCAATAGTCTTCCCTCCCATTCCAGAAGGCATGGCGTCTCATTTGAAGCCTCTGTACGTTAATGCTCATATTTGTGGGAAACCAATCACAAAGGTTTTCATAGATAATGGGGCCATCTTCAATGTAATGCCATTAAAGACTCTCAAGAAGTTAGGAAAGGGAGTTCATGATCTATCTCCTGTGGATTTTGAGATGACTAGCTTTACAGGGCAGCCAACCAAACCAGAAGGCATGTTGGTCGCCTCCATTGAAGTCGGTCCAAAGAAGATTTCTTCTGTTTTCTTCGTGGTGGATGCAGATACAACATATTCAATCCTCCTTGGATGAGATTGGATTCATGCATCCAAGTGTGTACCATCAACACTGCATCAACAATTGATGTTCTGGGAAGGCAACCAGGTTTTCAAAATGGAGACAAATGACAATCCTTTTGGAGCATCAGAACAAGTTGAAGAATCAGTTTTTTATTCTGGTCATGTACCTCAAATGTATCAGTTTTTTATGGCTAATGACTACCCAAAGAAGGGTTTTAAATTCATTGGCCAGAATTCAATGTTCTTTTAAAAGAACAACTGTACTATATGGCTCTTTAGTAAGCCAGACCTATTTTGTATAATACATTTCTTAAGGAAGAAGCAGAATTACAAGATTGTAATTTACTTATTAATCAGTATTATTTAGATCAACTTTTGAAAAAAGTAGAAAAAATCAAAAAAATACATGATGTTCATTTCCAAGAAGATGAACAATTTCGTTGGCCTGATCTGTTAGAGA